TCCTGGCACCCAGGCGGTGCAGGTATGGGTTTAGGGTTTAGGGGTTTAGGGTTTAGGGATTTAGGGTTAAGGGTTTAGGGTTATGGGATTCCATGTCGCTGTTGGGGAGTGTAATTATTCATGCTTTCCTTCTAAGGCAGTTACCACGAGAGACCTCATAAGTATGCCTGTTGTTTGAGCTCCCTACATTGACCCTAAACCCTTAACCCTGAACCTCAGATTCTAAACCCTGAGTCTAGATCCTGAACCCTAAATCCTAGACGCCAAGACCTAGACTCTACATCCTCTATCCTGCATCCTAAGCCCCATGTGCTACCCCCTGAATACTGTGTACATCCTCTTCTTACTTTCACCTCTACTCAGGCGACCTCTCTACATCCTAAACGCTGCATCCTAAATCCCAACTACTAATCCCTGAATCCTAGGCACTTGCCCTTCTTAATTTCACATCTTCTCAGGCGGCCTCTTTTTGCAGGGGAGTCGCAACGTGGAGACTTTGACGCGCCTGGACGACTTTGGCTACATATAAGAGTTTGTCAAAAACGGGGGGGGGGGGGGGCCTCAGAGATCCATTATACGGGTATGGGCGGACGTAACGTTAGACTTCAAGGTCTGGGGTTTCAGAATCAGTGCTTGGGGTTCAGGATTCCTCAAAGAGGGAGAACAAGTATGTTCATGGAATATTATGAGATGGTTGGGGTTCGCACTAGGGCTCATAGACCTAAGCCTTTAAATTCCAGACTCGTACAGCCCAGAAGTGTCACCTGTGTGACGACACGGTGCTAAGCACTATGCCCTACGCCCCGCAACTCACCATAGATATCCGCCCGAAACCCAACTCAGGTGCTGTCTGTGCTTGGTGAAAAGCAGGCCATGGTCCCAGGAGACTTTCACTTGGGTAGGATTTAGGGGTCAGGGTTTGGGCTTCAGTCTTCCTATCCCCCGAGGTCGGTGATTCTAAGGGCCATAACCCTGATTTGTAAGCAGACTGTATTAAGTCAAGAGAGCTTTCCAGCACGGTCTCGGTTTAGTCTTCTTCTTTTTTGGAACTCCCATGTGTTTTGTGGAATTATATCTGCGCGGTACTGAGATGGAGGCAGCAACTGAAGCCCCTGCGTGCTTGTAGACACTGATGTAGTCAGCTTCAGGTAAAGACATTTGATGGCGGTGTCGTCCGTTTGCGGCCTTACTTTCCCGGTTGTAAACCACAAAGATCCTTCGCGAGTTGAAGCGGTTTAGGGTTTAGGGTTCAGGGGGTTTAGGGTTTAGGGTTCAGGGGGTTTTGGTTCAATCTTCAGATGTTAGTAGGAGATGTCTCCCTAAGAAGGGCTCCAGAGACGTTCAAAGCTGCTAGTATAGCTCCACTTCAGTCTGACCTATAGAGGTCCGTAAACATGGCAAAGAATTTTGGAGGTCCCCACTTCCTACACTGATTCTTGTATTTGTGATTGCTTTTGCGGGCATGAATAGTCTGCGGTCACAAAGGCGAAGCCTTATTCCTGGAAATACCCAGACGCACACACACACACTCACACTGTCTTCCTCAAGCGTAGTGCAGCACAGCTTGACTTGCAAAGCCGTATCCCTTTCTGGAGACTGCAGAGCGGTAGATTTTAGATGGACCCCCACCCAGTAATGGTGACTATAAGGGATAATAAGGACTATATTAGGGTCCTCTTATATTCTTACTATACTATAGTCTCCCTTAAGTAGATAGAATATGGCTTTGGGTATATTATAATAAGATCCCCATATACCCCATATTCTATCTACTTAAGGGGGACTA